TATCCATGACCGAAATCAGTAGCCATTCTTGATGCAATGGTGGCTGCAGCAGAAAATATATTCAAAACATTAACCCTAATCCTAATTGATACATGCAAAAGATTAATTCATTCCTTTTATTGTTTTTTTTATACCTTTGATGTTCTAACAGTACCCTTCTCTTCAATATCAACCTTGTACCCAACGTTGAAAATCCAACTTCTGTTTTTTTTTAATTTTTAATATATTATATATATTAGATATATATATTTTAAAGTATTTTTTTTAATTTTTATTTATATATAAAAATATTTTTTAATTATTATATATATTGTATATATTTTTAAAGTAGTTATATATATATATTAGTTATTAGATATATATATTTTAGAGCTAGTTTTTTTTTATATAAATATATATTATTATATATATTTTATAGTAGTTTATATGTATATATTAATTATTATATATATATATTTTAAAAGTATTTTTCTACTGCTTCCATCCTAGGAAAATAGATTTTTACTGAATGGTCCCTCCATACCACGGTTGCAGCTGGCTACTCTAATCGCTCCGCTTCTCGTTGCTGCAATATCGTCTTCTTCTTCCACCTCTTCTTCCGCCTCTCCTTTTGCTTCTCATTCAGCCCCTCCTTCTGCTTCTCCTTTTCCATATCAGAAACCATTTGGAGAACCGGAGGCCTGTAAAATTCCATCTTGACCTTGCAAATATTGAAACAGAACCCAAGCAGAGCTTCCAGGAGGTAGGTCTTTCCGGCTAGTTGACCAAGGTAGTCAAGGAAGAAATCTCTAGGGTCTTCATTCCTGGCTGTTATTGATTGAGAAAGAAAGAGAAGCGGAGCAAGTGAACTGATTCGATTCAAAATGTAGGCTGGACCGGTTCGAATCGGATTAATTAGGGAACCTAGTTTAGTCTGTGTTGTTTGAGCCAGTTCAATAACTGAACCGATGTTAGAGTTTATTTTTTTATCTGAACCCCATATCTTTTTTTCTTCATCATGCGGAGGAGGGGTTGGGTGGCTGTCAGGTGTGAACCCTTGGGTCGTTAGCCTCGCATCTTTCGGGATATAACCACCTTTCGATTGAGGCAGAAGGCCTCCGCCTTCGTCAGTCTCGGCCGCCAGGCGTGCCAAGCTGTCTTTGGTCTCGGCAAATCTGCAATGGAGTAGATCTAGGATCAAGCTGAATTGCCAATGTGTTTCGTCCTTGAACACGTAGAGTTTCCAATCGACGTCCTCCACAGTGAGTTCGAGTACTTCGGTTTTTGCCCATTTGGCTTGTTTTGATAGTATCTTATCAGAAGCCTTTAGTATGATTGTCTGATCTTCAGAAGGAAAGAAAGAAAGAAGAGAGAAGAAGAGAGAAGAAGAGAGAAATAGAAGAGAAACAGAGAGAAAAATTTAAAAATTAATTCTTATTCTTTTCTTTAATTGATTACAGCATAAAAATTGAGCTTTTTTTGAGATGTTGATATGAATATTTGTTACTTAAA